GGTGGAGTCCGGTACAGTCCCGGACTCTGCTGGAAGTTGTTTTCGAGTTCCTCTGGGACTCGAAAACCAGAAATTTATCGATTCGACTGTACCTATACATGTAGATATATATCTTCTTCACCTGCCCGGTCCATCCCGTCTTCATCCATCTTAGACGGGAACTTCCCAACGGACCGGGTGTGCGAGTGAGAAGAAGCGAGAGGAGAGAGAGACTCACCTGTCTGCTCTTACACTTTTATTGGCCCTAGAGTTTCGGGTAGGCCGAACACAACGGCCCCATCTGTTGTGACCTGAGGGTCACATGGTGTAAACCATACCCTATAAGGACATAGGGGAACACCTGAGAGTACCGGTCAGGTAGTCAGCTAGCGGTTAAGACAGCCCATGCGTGTTGGGTCCGGATCCATTGGATCTGGTCGCTGGTTCAAATCCAGCCCCGACCATCTTTTGGACTACAATCCGTCTCCTACCGATCCCATTCCTATACACCCCTGGCGTCATGTGACACAGATTTTGGATTTTCGCACTAGGGGCCGACGTCATCCCGAATACCTCCTTCGGTGGCTTCACGGTAGTCCCTCTAACAATACCTGGGTCCCACTTACCGATATTTCTACCGATTCAGACCCTTTTCTCCTCGAGTTCCATTCGCATTTTCGACAATTCTCTGTCCCTTCTTTTCTTGTCTCACGGTCTCGTGTCCGTGTCGGTTTTCAAGCTCTCCCTAGGTCCTAGTAATCTGGTCATTTTTGTAATGATTTCGTCAACTCGTAAAACTTGTCAGAAACAAAATATGTTTATAGTATGAGTACACCGTACTTGTATATATGTCATAACAACAGTTGCGAAAATGGTTGTTACAACGATGATTGTCTATTTTAGATATGTGAATGGTATAACTAGTTTTGGATATTGTAAATATCATGTATATATAAGTCTCACAAATTGTTGATACCTCTCCCTTTTCCTTTATCGAAACATTTTGTTATTAATAATCACATCCTTTTATTTACTTACGAGAACAAGATATCCATATCAGCATATTACAAGTCCCTCCCAATATGCTTATGTCTGGACCTCAGTACTAGAGTCATCACATTTACCACGCCGAGGTAGGATTGGAATTGAAATTGGACTTAAGTTAAGTTAGGGGATGACTTGAACTTAACTGATACATGATGAAGTCATCGATTGTTCAGGTTTGTGCCGAGACTCAAAATACAATTTCGGATTGGGGTCTGATTGAGCTTGACTGATTAAATTCACCTTCAACTTATAATAAGTAATCCAGTCAGGATACATACTTACTCTAGATATTATCGAGATCAGTGTTAGCCTATTTAACTTTAAACTCTTAAAAAATAAACAATACCCATTTCAATTTTCATCATCTCGACTTTAATTTTAATCGACCCAATGTCCGAATCGGCTAACATCAATCTCTCTCTTTCCTTCAGACCGGTCACTCAGCGTATATCTCAAATCAATCACCACTTCAATCAACTATCTAACAAAATGTCAGTCTCTCATCACTCCTAACGCTTACTTTATACTAACAACTCAACCTCAATCAATCAATCAGGTCTCCAAAGGGTGATATCGGTCTCATCGGCTTGGCGTGAGTGAAAAGTAGGATGATGAATTGGATCCCACTTTCCAATCTTACTGACTCTTCTCTTGCCTATATCCTGATCAACCCCTGTGACGTCATTCACAACACCAGCGTCATGGGTCAGTCCTCACTCCTCTCTCCATCTCGTCCGTGCAATGCCTCATCCAGTTTACCACTCTTTTCTTTTCATATCCCTCCTCTAGGATGCAACTTGATCATGAACATGGTACGCTCTTCATCCTTCTCTTCCTTCGATCACACTCTTAAAATTGATCTCGTCTTGACTCTCAACCAAAAAAAAAATTAAAAAAAAAAACCATGCAGAATGACAAAGGTTTCATAGTCGTAGCATATAATCGTACAGTCTCAAAAGTAGATGAATTTCTGGCAGGTCAAGCTAAAGGCTCGAACGTCATTGGTGCACATTCGATCGAGGAACTCTGCTCGAACCTTAAAACACCTCGAAGAATTATTTTATTGGTCAAGGCAGGTGCAGCAGTTGACGCGTTTATCGAACAACTCTTACCCCACCTTGAGAAGGGTGATATCATCATCGACGGTGGTAACTCTCACTATCCCGACTCTACTAGACGTTGCAAGGAGCTTGAGGCCAAAGGGATCTATTTTGTTGGATCGGGCGTATCGGGAGGCGAAGAGGGAGCACGATACGGACCTTCGCTGAGTAAGACTCGATATACTTTGGTCTTCATAAATTGGTATTCGTCTTGTTTGTATTACTAAATGCGATCTCTGCTGTTGTTTAGTGCCCGGTGGCTCTGAGGGTGCCTGGCCTTATATAAAGGATATCTTTCAAAAAACTGCTGCTCAGTCTGATGGCGATCCCTGTTGTGACTGGGTCGGTCAAGAGGGCTCGGGCCATTACGTGAAGATGGTCCACAATGGGATCGAGGTCCGTATATGATCCTCGCAGGCTCTTGAGTCGATCTGCTAATCTCAACTGACAACCCTGCTACATGACAGTACGGGGACATGCAACTAATTTGCGAAGCGTATGATATTCTCAAACGTGGGCTCGGGTTGACAGAAAGCGAGATTGGTGATATCTTCACCATCTGGAACAAGGGCGTACTCGATTCTTTCCTGATGGAAATCACGCGTGATATCCTCAAGTTTAACGACACCGATGGAACTCCACTAGTCTCTAAAATTCTCGATCAAGCCGGTCAAAAAGGTACCGGCAAATGGACGGCTATCAACGCACTTGACCTTGGCATGCCCCTCACGCTCATTGGAGAGGCGGTGTTCGCTCGTTGTTTGTCGGGTATCAAATCTGAGCGTGTCAAAGCTAGCAAGCTCCTTGGTGGTCCCCAGATTGAACCTTTCAAGGGTGACAAGAAGCAATTCATCGATGACTTGGAGCAAGCTATGTATGCTAGCAAGCTTATCTCCTATGCTCAGGGCTTCATGCTCATGCGCGAAGCTGCTAAGGAATATGGCTGGACTTTGAACTAGTAAGCAATGGTTTGGTCACCAATCCTTCTCTTTTGCTTTTGCCTACTAACATTTCTTTTGAAACAGCCCTTCGATCGCGTTGATGTGGCGCGGAGGATGTATCATTCGTTCTGTTTTCCTAGCCGAAGTCAGCCTTACTTATCTTCCCGTACACATGCTCTCTATCTGACTTTCTGATTGATTGACCTCCTTAGATTACGAAAGCATTCAAAGCTGAACCCGATTTGCAAAATTTACTATTTAATGATTTCTTTAATCAAGCCATTCATAAAGCGCAACCAGGTTGGAGAAGAATTATAGCACAAACTTCACTTTGGGGTATTCCTACACCAGCTTTCTCTTCTGCTTTAGCTTTCTTTGATGGTTATCGATCAGAGACACTTCCTGCTAGTTTACTTCAAGCTCAAAGAGATTACTTTGGTGCTCATACTTTCAAAATATTGCCTGAACATGCTTCTGATAAATATCCTGAAGGTAAAGATAACCATGGTAAGTGACGTGATGATTTTTTTATCATCTTTTGGAAATAAGATTTGGTGTGTGAAGGGAAGCTCATTTGCTCGCTCTTTTATTTCTGTGACGCTTTAGTCAACTGGTCTGGTCGTGGTGGAAACATCTCGGCTTCGACTTATGGCGCATGAAATAAAGACTTTGAGAAGACAACCTATAACTCTATCAAAGGTTTTGAGTAGTATTAGTAGTAGTAGTATCTGTTTTTCTTCTTAGAACCGATCAATTCTTATATATATATATATATAAATAAATAAACAGAAGTACCTTTCAAGCATCATTATCAACGAGTCAGGCTATTTACATAAATAACTCTTCTTTCGAGACAAAACAAAACCATGCGATACCTTTGACGTTTTGATGAGTAAGACTGTGAATGAAAGTGAAGTGATACAATGAAACATGTATTATCAACAAAAAAGATTAAGAGCGAGCGTCTCTTAAATCTTGATGAGCTTAGAGAGATTAAGGAATCTTGGAGGGGGGGGTTAGAAACGAGTACGTACATTAGACTGTGGCTAGGGTGCCACTTAATTCTGAACTTTGGTATTGATTCAAGCAGCTCAACTCTTTAAAAGAGTTCTGGGCGTGCTAAGAGGGTGGCACAGTAAACTCATTATTTTGACATTAATACTCACTTTGTCAGCCCTGAGGACTGCCCAGCAGTCCCACAGACTGTACCACATATTACAGGTAGTGTAATAGTTACAGTAAACAACATATGTGTAAACATATACACATTAAGTCAAAAACTACAACTCAGGGCTCAGTGTGAAGAGCCCATATGTACACTACATAATATAAGTAAACATAGGTTAAGACACATGAATACAGATGTAATCATAATTACTATAAAAGGATATAGTGACCAATGAGGCTGTGCTAGCATAAAGAACTATAAACAGAAATAGTGACCAATGAGGCTGTGCTAGTATAAATACTATAAAAGGGAATAGTAACTAATGAGGCTGTGCTAGCATAGTATAAAGATAGGAGAAAGGGCAATCTTTCTACTGAGAATCTGAGGGTATATAACTTCCCCTCAGATCCTCTTCCCTTTCCCCCAGACACACATTCTTACACTGAACAGAAAAATTGACTTAATATTCATAAAGGAATATTTGAGTCTTCTTCTCAAACTGGGATTTCTTTGCATTGACTACAAAAGGTAGTCTGGTGCACTATCCCTCTGAGAACTCATCTCTGTTTCTTACTTCATCTGTATATATTCTTTGTACAAGGTCTTGAGTCCTTCTCCATAGACTGTACCTTTATACTGATAGACTCTGGGCTGAGATCTTCAGGATAAGGTGTGACAGGGAGTTAAACTCAAGAGAGTATGGATAACTGCTGGGTTATAAACTCACCAGAGTATGAATAACTGCTGGGTTATGAATTCACAGAATCTAGGGTGACTACTGTGTCATAAAGATTCTTATTCTTGACCAAGAGTGTATATAAACACTCAACAGCCCAATATATACCCTAAATTCTCTTATAAGAGGTCATCTAACTGTAGTCTGTGCTGGTTTCACTCTTCATACCTTGTCCCCTTATCTCCTATCTTTAAATCTTCTAAACTCCTCAACTGTAGTGTTGAGGTAGACCTAACAGCAGTCTACCCCTCACACACTTGCCAAGTCCCTGTGATGAGCAAAATGCAATTGAGAGTCAACATATTGCCCTTTGCCAGATTTTGTTGCATCCACCTGGCCATGAGCTCCTTTTTCCCCCCAGAGTGCCTAGATAAATTCTTGGTATGGTCTCAAGAATTGTGGAAGGGAGACAAAGACCTGAAACAGCTAGCATTGAACAAATTCTCAGATGTGAATATACATATATACTGAGCAGGAAAATGCAAAAAAAAAAAAAAAAAAAAAAAAAAAAAAAAAAAAAAAAAAAAAACAATAAATCAATAAATTTGGATATTCTCTAAATGAATATAAAAGCATCATGAAGTTTGCCCCCTTTTTTTTTTTGAGGAATAACTTCAGTTGAAAATTATATATATACATATATATATATTACCTCATTGAAAAAGAAAGAAACAAAAAAAGGAAAAAGAAATCTAGTTTATAAAATTGAGGGCCCTACTAGTTTTGAGAGTCAACAATTTTGATGATGATTACAGGTTCAAATATATATATATATATATATATATAAATCAAAAAAAATAAAAAAATTCTTATTGTTAAACTTGTATCATTAGTTTTTGAGTTATATTAAACCTGCTTTGTGATATATAGATAAATAGATAGAGTTGTTTTTGTTTTTCTTTCTTTCTATTTCAAACTCAGATTTTTGTTTGTTTGAAATATATATAGATATATTAACTTTCTCTTTCATCAACTCTTGAATTTAACTGATTTAAACTTTAAATCAATCAAATTCATTAAAGTTCAATAATTTTTTTTTTCAAATATAAGGTGTTTGTTAAACTGGTTGTTGTCAACATTTTAGAGATCTAGATCAAGACAAATTATTAGCTTTTTTTTTTTTCTTTGTTCTTGACTAGTTTATAGCTATGTTCAATGGGTAATATGCCTCACTCATAAGTTTCAGTTGCACTTTGTCAGTGGGTAGCTTCTGTCAGGCTACTCACCTGGCTAGCTATCCAGAGAGAGTGAGGTAAAATTGGGTACCAAAGGAACAACTAAATTGATAGTATTGGGAATCCCCCAAATAATGAGTGCAGCTAGTTGACCTCAAACAATGAACAGTTGGAAGACTTAGTCTGGGAGTTACAATCTTTACTCAGGGATCAGGGTTACAGTTAGGAACTAGCTCAGCTCATCTCTAATCTTCCTTTTACAAGCCAGGGTGCTCTTTTCCTGCTTGGATGATTCTTCTGCTCTGACCCTTGGGAGTCCTCACTGACAAGGGTTGTATGAGGAAGGTGTACCAACCTATAGGATGACCCCTTATATACTTATACCTATTTCACTATTGAGTAGATGACTTGGTTACAAGTATTCTCAAATATGTGCTTCTGGGGGTTGTAGTAAAGATTGAGCAGAGGGAAACAATACTGGGCTGAGATGGAGGGTTGATATACTCTTCTCTGATGTTTATTCCTCACTATTGAGATCTTTGGCCAACATGTGGTTTTGGGTTTGCTTATAAAGATCATTCATTGACTTGTGGTTGAATTCACATTATAAGGCTGTGTATCCAGTCTTTGGTACAAGTATATGTATGTATGGCTCTTGACATCAAGCCTGAGTTGTGGTTTTGATCTTCACTGCCAAGATATTTGTATCGGATGGGCCTATCCGATGTTCTATCACCCCGAGATATGCGATGCAGTGTCAGTAGGATTAGGTGCGATGGAATTACACTGCAATATGGTGTCAGAGCATTAGATACCGATAGTAATTCCATCGCACCTAATCCTACTGACACTGCATCGCATATCTTGGGGTGATAGAACATCGGATAGGCCCATCCGATACAAATATCTTGGCAGTGCTTTGTTACTTATGATTCATGTGTGTGAGATTGATTGTACACTTGTATTTGTGTGTAGTATTCTAATCATATCTGTAATTAACTGGTTGACAGTCTGTGGAACTGCTGAGCAGTCCTCAAGGCTGACACACCTCCAGCATATTTGCATTGCATCTGGTTTTGTGATATATTAAACTGTTTCATTGTTGAAAGCATGAGTTTTATAACATTTCCTTTTCTTAAAAAATAGCTAACATTTTAAACCTTGAAGGACTTCATTAAGTTTATCCAATATCATTTGTTGTTGGAGCCCACACTACAAGCCAGCAAGGTACTTGATTGAGTTTATAGAATCATGAGGTTCTTCATTTTATCACAAAAAATAAACTGTGAAGTTATGTTAGAACCAAACCCTTACCTATGTGAACTTTTTCAACAAGTAACATAGAGCACATTCCATTCCTGCCTTTTATGGGAACTCAAATCTAGGAATGTAGGGTCATGCAATCATGCCACACCACATGCAAAATGCTGTTGCAGTCTCCATTGGCTATGAGTTCTTTGAGAAACACCTGTCAACTGTTGCAGATGTCATTTGTGACACTGCTCTTGGTGTTGCAGCATAGGTCTGTGACACTTTTGGGTTCTGGATACCATCATTATGGGGCAGCTCAATTTGAAACCATATGCAAGTTTTCCAATGGGATCCCCAATTACTGGAATATATGAACACTGTTTTTGTTTTATCATTTTGACTATAGCCTCATCCTCACTCCTCTCATTAATCTTGTCTAAGCAACAAGATTATCTTCACATATATTCAAAATCTTGTTATTCCACAATTCACTGATATTACTCAAAGCTTCACATAATTAGATGGAATGGTTGAGATTGGTTGAGGATTGAGTAAGGATGTGTGAATGGTTAAGAGCACTAGCAACAGTACTAGAAAAGAGCCAAAAATTGATGTCTTGTGAGGTTTGAGTATGAATTGGGAAACAGATACTAAAAAGTAAGAAAAAAAGAAAAAGATTTGGTTACAGGAAGGAAATTCCTCGAAGTTATATGATAGTATAAATGGGGTGGGGGGGCTTTTTTGGTTGATCTCTCATATGAAATGCAGTCTTGGCTACATTTTTTATTCATTAATTGCAAATTCACAACACCAGGGAGCCGCAGATCTCCCAACCTATTTTCATATCTCCATCTACTAGAAAGTTATGAGGGTCAAACTGTGCCAGAGCTAAGGACATAAAGTCAGTGCTTTATAGCACAAGGTTTGAGTGAGAAGTAAGCAAAGAAGAAGTACCTGCTCAGAGGCAGAGGCACAGTGAAACACAAGACAAGTTAGTGTAAGAAATGAAGTAGGAAAACAACTTGGTGCACACAGTCACTTCTATTTATACTTGTCTGAGGGCTTACACACAAGAACCTTACTAGGTCTGATACAAAGAAGATAAAATGAAAGAAGACTGATAAAAATAATGAAATGAAATGAAAATAATGAAAAGACCCTTAGACCCTTGACAACATCTAGACCAGCCTGAGTGCCATTTTACTTCTCTGGTTTGGTCTTTGAGGGTCCAAGTGGATCAGACTGAAGTAGTTGGGTCAGACTGGGGTAGTGACCATTAGAATCCTAAGACATCTCTCACTAACATACACTAATAAGAGCTGAATGTTGCATCAGGAGCCTTCTGTTGCAGCAAAAGTTTGTGACACCAAAGGCGGTGTTGCAAAGGTTTAGTGCAATAGTGAGAAAAATGGAGAGACACTGCCACACCTGTGACAACCAGTGCGACGGCTTCTCGCAACAGGGTCCTAGGCACAATTTTGAAAATGGCGCCAGCGACGATATGGCCGAGTGGTCTAAGGCGACAGTTTTGAATGCCTTTCGGTGCCCATCAGCTGTTTCACTTCGTGAGCGTGAGTTCGAACCTCACTGTCGTCGTTTTGCTTGTTTTTTACTTTGTTTTTTCCTCTTCCCCTCAATGCGAAACTTGTCATCAAAGAACTTGACGAGGCAGAGCTCAAAGTCTGACTTAACTGAGTCCCACTCGAGCGGCATTCGCTGTGGTTGCGCTTATGTTAAATAGGAGCAAAGTATTGAGATGGTAACAGAGATGTGTGGTACAGTTAGTTACTAGGGCAAATATACAAGCGATAGAAAGTGACTCATCAGAAGAGGAAGCTTTCATATTTGTATTTCTTTCTATAGGCTTTTTCTATAAGTGCTATATGTTTATAAACAGGTAATGCACTATAAAAAATTTAAAAAATTAAAAAAAAAAAAAAACAGTTAGTTAAATTTCACAAATATTGATACTTTTGATTAAAGTCCGCAGCGCGACAGATCTTGAGAGAGAGAGAGAGAGCTTTGAACTGATGCACACACAATCTCTATCTCTTCTACGTTATTATTTTTTTTACAGGTAGAAGTCTTGTATTGATTGAATCTTTTCATTGAATCTCAAGCCTTGTTCAATCTAAGATCAGATACTTCGAAAGAGTAACTTTGCGCCTCAGGGACATTTGAGAATTTGAAAGTTTAAAAATGAAGTGATCATTGAGAATAGGATCATTAAATTTTAAGTGAAGTGTGTACTCATGTGCTTTGATGCTATTTCTTTGTCACATCTGACTCATGACAGAAGTGGTAAAGATAGGTTCATGTATAAAACCTGTAACTCTGAGAGATGGTGGTGCGACTGTCAAGAAAATCTTGCGTCTCTTGAAATAAAGTTCCGAGTCATCTCTATCACAGTCCTGGAGGTTGAAATAAAACAGTCACCTCCCTCTAGGCATTAAAGCATTAGGGATGCGTAGGGTGGTCCTTTAAAGGAAGCTCCAATTTATGAACCAATTGGATGTCTAAGCCCCCCTGAGCAAATACGTTTGATAATACATCATCGAGTACCTTGAGAACAGGCGCAGACTCCAGACCGTCTTGATGTCAAGAAGGCATTTCAATCTTTACACATTGAATAATTCTTTGGATTTTTTATGAGCAGAATAGAAAAAAGTTCTGGGAGGCGAGGTGCAGAACTTGAAGAGTCCCTATCGCATACGAAAAATCGGAGCCTGGCGAGATTTCTCAAGTTAACAGACATGCCCGAGTTCTGTTTTCGGGTGTCAGAACGGGGCCGGGTCGCCCTCAAATTCTTGCTGATTTTACCAGTCAACGGAGGGTTGCCCGGCCACCAATCAATCAGTCTTGAGATCCTGAACCAAAGAACGAAGATGGCAGCTGCAAAGACTTCAAAGTATGCTACCGAGATAGCTCAGATGGTCAGACAGACTGTCGCCCTCTCGTTCCTGTGTAATCGTATGCTCATCGACTTTCTCACACTTATCCTCATACTTTTTAGTTATTTGTGTTTGGGGAGGTGAAGCAGCCAGATGAAGAAACGGTGAGATACATCGAGGATGTGGTTCGAGGTCAAGTGGCCGAATTGGTATGCGCTTTGACCATCTCTGCTTCCATTCATCCCTTCTCCTGGACCACTCATTGCTCATTAACCTGATTTAATGTTGCAGGTCATACAAGCTCGTGGACTTGCTCAAAGACGAGGCCTACGTATGCCCACAACTGAGGACCTTATATTCCTTATCAGACACGACCGCGGGAAGGTTAACAGACTTAGGACTTATCTCGGATGGAAAGATGTTCGAAAAAAAGCGAGGGAGGACGGCGTGGACGAGAAGGATATCGAAGCCTTTGAACCTGAATCGAACGGGGTCCCAAGTAGGATGAAATCCCAAAAGCTAAAACTGAAAATACCTTGGGAGCTCAGTACGATCTATACGGATCTATTGGTCAGTAACGAAGAGAATGAAGATGAGGAAGAAGATCAAGATGATAAGGAAGCGTATGAGGCTTCTGAAAAACGTTTGAGGGTTGAGTTTCTTTTTTCTCTTCTTGTCCTGTGATTGGAGGTTACCGCTTCGCTCAATCAATCTTTTTTCCACCCTTCAGGAAGCCGATGAGATCACTCGCCACATGACTCGAGAGGAGTATCAACATTATTCCGATTGTCGACAAGCGTCCTTCACGTATCGTAAAGGTCCGTACATTTTCTCACTTGTCATCAATAAGCCAAGCGACACCGTCTGGAAATTAAACTATGCTATTCTTCTATCAGCGAAACGCTTTCGAGAGTTTATTGGCTTGTCCAATTACATCGAGGGCAATCCAAAAGACGAAGTGGTGGATGTCTTAGGTTTTTTATCTTATGAGATGGTCCGAGCCCTTTGTGAGCGGGGATTGGCAGTAAAACGAGACTATGAGCTAGCGCGATTGGCACAAGGTCAAGACTCTAAACCGAAGCAAGATATTCACAGCAGTCCGTCCAAGAAAAAGAGGCGCTTGAATGGTTCCGATGGGCACAATGATGACTATGATGGCTCTGAAGCCTATAAAAGGCTCAAGCCTAGTGGACCTTTCTCAGGCCCGAGTATGCCTCAGCTTGGCTCATCTGCTCTCACGCCCACGCGGGCCAATTTCTTGGAGGATGCTTTTGGTATGACCGAAGGCTCTTCAGCGAAGGCTGACGAAAAGGTAGCTGAGAAGAAAACCGAGCCAAAACCGGCGCCTGAGCCTTTGCGTTCTCCTTTACGGGTTGCCGATGTGGAGGACGCGTATTCGATGATGCAGATGGGGCGGGTGAAGACAAAAACTAGTGCATTGCGGAACTTTACTGGCGCATTTGTGAGGAACAAAGTGTGTTTGATCTGATGTAGAGATACTAGATTGGCTAATTTGTAACCACATATGTCGAGTTTGTACTTGTTTGAAGTTTTACCTTTTGTGTGATTATTCTTCCTTTAATCCCAATTGTATAGCAGGTAAAATATTGTATGTATACGGCTTGTTCTCTTTTGTTTCTGCCCATGGGTGCATATGTCAGATTCCTTCTCTTCCTTTATGAAGTAATCCCTCGATGGCTCTACTCTTGTATACGAAAGTTCAAAACATTCTTTTGCCTGAATGATGGTTCCTCTGAGATTGAGATTGTAACAATTCCAAATCCCACCTCATTTACTTTGGAACAGGGGATGCCATTGTTATCAAGCACTCTTGCTCTACAGTATCAAAGATAGAAACGCATTGCGGCCAATCATTGTTTCCAATCAGCTGACACAAAAAGAACTGATCATATCCACCCTTTTTGAACAAACAAAATTCTGATGGTCATTATCTTTATTTATTCACTCAGTTTTTACAGACCTCTAGAATCCATGAGCGCAACTCCAAGGTTTTATTATGATCATCAGTGAGGATACCAGAATATACGCACCAGTCTAGGAGGTTTCTGTTAATGTTGTGATCATAATCTTTGGATTTTATCCTCCTCACTTCACAAGGCCAAACTCAGTTCCATGTCTGGGCTCAATTTCAACACCTCAGATTGACCTCAGCTTGATACATTAGATTTATCATTTGCTTAGAATATCTATTACACCCTTACACACTTTGATTGAAATTCAAAAAACACTCTGATGGTGTACTTTGATGTGGAATACAAGCTCTAATGGCTCACACACACACACATGAATCACTCAAAAGATTTTTATAAGATAAAATACTTCAATTGTAAAATTTGAGGTTGTCCAATAAATCAATGCATAGTTAATACCAACGTCATAATTTCCATTTGCCCAAAATGCTACAAAAAAAAAAATGAGTGAGTGAGTGAGAACAAAATTATATAAAACATAGCCCATAAATTTATAAAAATAAAAAGTTGAGATTGTTAAGGTTTGTAAAGTAAAATGAAGTCCTAAGAATTTTTCTTACATCAGCCTTTGGTCATGAAGTGAGCGGGCAGCACCAAATAATATCTATATATATATATGTGTGTGTGTGTGTGTATTTGTGAGGGAAATCTCAAGTGACTTGAGTAGTACTCAAGTAAAAAAAGATTTTTAATCAATCTGACAAAAGCAATAATGATAACGTGTGTACTGTAGCTGAGAAAGCCAATATTTTCTTTTTTTTTTTATCTAAAAAAAAATCTACTTACATACTTTGGAAAATGTAGTAATTGAGACCTTGATCCAAAGGGGGAAAAAAAAAAGTGATGTTTTTGTAATTGATTAAAATGTGAGACTTAATAACTTGAAAAGGAATTAAAATTCCTCATTTGTAAAATAATCACAAATGATTATCACAAAAACTCCTTCAATCCTATCATATGAGAGTTTCCCCCCCCCCTTAATTTTGAACTCTCTAAACTGAGTTTCCAAGGAAAAAAACTAAATCATTGAAAGATTTTCTGATATTATAACTTTAAGGCAAAAAAAAAAAAGTTACTTCTAGTATATTGATATGAGGAAGCAAAAGGTGTTGAGATTCAATTGACACAAAGAGACAGTATGCTGGTAACAGACACACTCCCAAAGGAGAATATACTTCTATAAGCATCACCCTGACTCAACCTCAATCAAATAGCCCATTCTCCTTACCCGTCTCCTTTCTTCATGCGCTGAAAGAGTGACGGTAAGTTTTATTTCTCTTTATATCTATCCTA